GCATTAATATTTTTATTATATTGTAATCAGTTGTCCTATCAATGACATTGTTTTTAATCACATTCATTAAACGCAGTTTACTTAATATGAAATAACATTTCATTCTGTTCTGTGTGATTTCTGCTGCCAACCCGTTTTGAAGGATTACATATTGTTAAACAAGACTACACTTTAAAACCTTAAAATGTATAACATTTCTGTAATCGTTTAATCATTAGTTATCATTTAATATTTTTGCCATGGGACGCAAAAAGCATTTTTTCAAGCATGCTGTGACTTACACTAGAACCATGAAATACACCAAAAACGAAAAAGAAATATATTTTTTTCATATGTTGTAATTCATATCTTCAGAATTCATATGATCGTGAGGAACAGACCCAAATTAAAGTCTTTTTTTCAGCAATCTTCATCTCCTTCCTCAAGAGCGACCGTAAGTGTCAAAACCTGCACTGACGTGCTTGTTACAAATTAAAAAATTGCTCCTTTCTGAAGCTTTACAACAGGTTTTACGGCAGTGAAATAAAATGCTCATTGGCTCTCGTCTGTGTCATCACATCTCTCACTGCTTATCAGTTTTCTGATATGTATCATAGTAATGAAGTGCCTACAGCAATTTCAGTTGCTGCTGAACATTCTTTATTTTCTTTGAGATTTTTTAGATTTTTTACTGAAAAGATTGCTGGCATTTGATCTTCATTTGTTCCTCTTTGTTCTAGTTCTTTGGTTGACTTTTCAGTTTCTTCAGCTACCTTGTGCAGCTTTCACAGTCGGTGTCTCTCTCTCTCGGAGTTAAGGGAAGTAGTGATGCAGACGAAAACGTCAACTTATGATGCTGTTCCCTCTGACTTTCTTAAAGGGGCTTTTGATACAATTGGTCCTAGTATTCAAGTAATTATTAATTCTTGCTTAGTTTCTGGCACTGTCCCTGCGTTTTTGAAGCATGCAGTTGTCCAGCCATTGCTTAAAAAACCCAATGCTAATATTAATTGCTTGAATAACTATTGTCCTATTTCAAAACTCCCATTTCTTTCAAACGTTCTGGAAAGAGTTATTCTGTCACAGTTGCTTCCTTTTTTAAACTTAACTCATATACTTGAACCTTTTCAATCAGGTTTCACTACCAACATTTATCATTGTTGAGCTGCAGGTAGTTATTTGACATCCAGCTTTTAATATCCTCAAGACTCTCTCATTGAGAGGCTGCAGAGAATCTCGGGATTTTAATGGAAGATACAGCTGATTTCTGATATGTATCATAGTAATGAAGTGCCTACAGCAATTTCAGTTGCTGCTGAACATTCTTTATTTTCTTTGAGATTTTTTAGATTTTTTACTGAAAAGATTGCTGGCATTTGATCTTCATTTGTTCCTCTTTGTTCTAGCTCTTTGGTCGACTGTTCAGTTTCTTCAGCTACCTTGTGCAGCTTTCACAGTCGGTGTCTCTCTCTCTCGGAGTTAAGGGAAGTAGTGATGCAGACGAAAACGTCAACTTATGATGCTGTTCCCTCTGACTTTCTTAAAGGGGCTTTTGATACAATTGGTCCTAGTATTCAAGTAATTATTAATTCTTGCTTAGTTTCTGGCACTGTCCCTGCGTTTTTGAAGCATGCAGTTGTCCAGCCATTGCTTAAAAAACCCAATGCTAATATTAATTGCTTGAATAACTATTGTCCTATTTCAAAACTCCCATTTCTTTCAAACGTTCTGGAAAGAGTTATTCTGTCACAGTTGCTTCCTTTTTTAAACTTAACTCATATACTTGAACCTTTTCAATCAGGTTTCACTACCAACATTTATCATTGTTGAGCTGCAGGTAGTTATTTGACATCCAGCTTTTAATATCCTCAAGACTCTCTCATTGAGAGGCTGCAGAGAATCTCGGGATTTTAATGGAAGATACAGCTGAGAATCATCTGCATAAAAATTAAAAGAGATTTTATATTTCCTTATGCTATTACCAAGTGGAAGCATACGTATACAGATTAAAGAGTAACGGCCCCAAAATGGACCCCTGAGGGACCCCATAGAGAAGAGATGCAGATGATGAGATAAACTGGCCAACAGACACTGAAAATGACCTGAATTTCAGATACGACTCAAACCAGCTAAGTGCTGTACCCTTTATGCCCACTACCAACAATTGCGGACTGATGACAGCTCACTCAGGGCGGGTCTGAGGTAAGACGCCAGTCCAGTCTGCACTGAAACGCTACTCTCAATCAAACTATCATGGGAGGGGCCTGTTTTTGTGATGTCACACAGACAGGCATCTGAGATCGGCTCGATTTGAGAAAGGGGTAAAGATTTTAGTAGACAAAAAAAAAAAACTGGGTGGATTTTTTATCATTATAGGATGGTTGTGTACACACACTGCCAACACACATTTCAGTTCAAATAACTTGTAAAAGTGCATGTAGCATCCGATGATCCCTTTAAGGGATCAAAAAATTTAAATAGTTTATCGATAAAATGCCAAGTGCGTTTATACAAATATCTCTGTGATATAAAAGATTTGTAAATATTTTATGTTTTTTAGCTGTAAAGAATAGGGAGGTAATGATTAACCGTGAGCCGGTTGAAAATCAAATATATGTGACGATTCAAATCGGTTGAGATGTCAAATGAATCGCGATACAATTGGAGTAGGAGTTTATATGAATGTATCTCTGAGGGGAACTGACTGTCTTTAGAAAAGTTTACGTGGTATTTTCTTTTCATCTTGCCTCTGAACAATGCATATTAAAGTAGCGTTCATAAGCGCAGCTCTACTTTGTTTTCAAATAATAATGGGATTTCAGACGTTCCAGGTAACATGCTGACAGCACACTGATCTATGTGAAGTATGTACAATATGCTTTGCAGCTCTTTTTTTCTTTTGTTACAGAAAAAATGCAGAATGCACAGATTCCTCTGAACCAACCTGGACTCATTGTTTATACATAGGTGTAACATCTACAAAAGCATATGTCATGTTTTTCTTTATTGTATTTAGTTAGCAGTCAAATACAGAGCAAAAACACAGAGCATTGTGTAACAGTTTAGG